AAAAAAAAAAAAAAAAAAAAAAATCATGCTCACCTGACATTAATGGTGTGGCTTGCAATGTCTTGGTGACTCAGCCACACTCCAGCAAAGTACTTCTGGGCCCTGGTAAAAAAATCGAGCTACTCCAGAGTATGGCAGTAGAGTGCGGGGTCTCGGGGTCTGCCAACTCATTGATTGCCTGACTGTGGCAATGCAGAGAGGTGACAGACTCCTCCTCCTTCTCCTCGGCTCCTCCTCCTCTTCCTCCTCCTCCTCCTCTGCTCCTCCTCCTCTTCCTCCTCCTCCTCTTTCTTCTTCTTCTTCATCTTCTTCTTCTTCTTCTGCTGCTGCTGCTGTAATGAATTTGCCCGACTGCGAACAATTCCAGCACCCTTCATTGTCAGACAAAGGTGATTGCACACGGCCGTGATTCCCGCTCAGACAAAGCTAGTTGCTCAGCTGCAGGGAATTTGCCCAACCGCAAACGATTTCAGCACTCTTCATGCTCGGACAAAGCGAATGGCTATGGCTATGGCTATGGCTGTTCTGCCCTTCTCTCCTCTCTTCTATTGCTAATAAGAGCGCTGCTTTGATTCACTGACTGGTCAGGCACTCGTGGTGGTCCCACCGACTTCGTCAGTCCTATAGACCTGGTCAGGCACTCGTGGTGGTCCCACCGACTGCCCCCTCCGGGTGGTCCCACCGACTGCCACCACCTGGTGGTCCCACCGACACCGACTGCCACCGCCATTGGGCACTGCCGCCATGGGGTAGAGACGTCGCAGGAAAAGTGGTGGTTAAAAAATTTGATACTTAAGAAGAACTGTCCGTATCTGGACGCGTTCTTAAGAACTGTCCGTGCCTCCTCGTAGCGGCTTCTAGATACTTCTGAGTGACAGTGCAGTAACCCTGTTCAGAAGTAGCCTGGGGCCCAGAACTCAGCCCCAGGCCACACAGACCTGAGTCGGTCTGCACTGGGCTGTGTGACCAAGGCACGCCCAGGCCTGAGTCTGCTGCGTTTGGCTGTGTGACCAAACGCTGCACACTGGAAATTCAAGGGTCAAAGTCAACTGTAGAGTCAAAGGTACTGTGCCCAGGCCCTTGGTTGGATACACTCACTTGTTGTGCGCAGGTACCCAGACAGCATCCAGGCCAGAGGGAATTCGGTTTCAGACCAATCTGGGCCCTCGTTTGCATTGAGATCTGGACGGCTGAGGGATGCGGCATCCGGGGTCCAGACCCTGTGTCAACGCTACATAAGCGCTGACTTCCTGGCTTTGGTTCATTCATTCTGTCTTGCGTCAATGCTGACTTCACGCGTTGACGACGCGACGCTGGCTCGACGCTGCGACGCTGTGACGCTGGTGGACGCTGGGTTGGTGCTGGCATTTGGGAGATTTGCGGCGACACGCTGCTAGCTCGGCATGGTGGCTGGCTGGCTACTGTCTTCAAGGCATGCTGACGTGGCAGCTGCCATGCGTTGTTGCTGACGTGGCTGCTGCCACGTGTTTTATTGCTGGGACTACGTGACCGGCACTGCTGTTCTGTTTCATCGTCACTTCAGGAGGAGATCAGGACTGTGGAGAGATCGTGGATACGTACCTGGTTGTCTATGTCGACATTGCTCCAGCGCTGATGAGGGACTGATTAGACGTGCCATGTGGCACATTGTAGTAGGACTTCGGATACTCATTCAGACTATTGATTATTGAGGTGTTGATCGAGGAGGGAGCCCGAAGCAGGAGTGGGCCTTGTTTATTTCCTCTCCTTTGTCTAATCTCCCTCCTCTCTCCTTCGTCTGTATATGATTATCTCATCTCATTCTGTCTGGATACGATTTTGACTATTGGTAATCATCAGCTGATTGACATTCATCTGGGCTTGCATTGTTGACGACTGTCTTCACGATCTGGGTTCATTGCAGACAGGGTTAGTTGTCCTTCCACGACTCATTTCAAGTCCTACCATCTTCACCTGGATAGAATGCACGTTCATTATTGCTGTATCTAGACTGAAAGTTGCCCCAAATACGGCTATAGTGACCGGCCAGATGTCTTATTCAGAGGAAGACAGGAAGATGGGCGTACGGGTTTAAAATGAGCACCCTTCGTCACAATGACTGACGATCTCAGATGCTATCTTATCTCAGTCCATGTATCAAGGGGACGCTGGACCTGGTTTCCAGCAGGTGAACCTCTCCGCCAAATTCACCGATAGCTGGAGCGACCAGGGAGAGGGGGGACCACCAGGAGGGGCTGCTCATATCCCCCYCCCCCCCCCCCMCCACCAAGTAAGCCGAACCCAGTCTTAAACCATTAGTACCTTTGCCGAATGGGAAAATAGCGGGCCTAGGGTGGGCCTCCGACCTTCTAGGAGGCCGAAACGAAACGAAACGAAACGACGGCCGCCAATGAGATTTGTCAATGGCACCTGTCGTCGGGCCCGGCCTCCGAACCCTTCGGGAACAGCCCGTTTTCCCTAATTTTCCAACACTGGCGGAGGTACTAGTGCCTTAAAAATAATTAAAAAAAAAAAAAAAAAAAAAAAAAAAAGACTGACATGAGCCCACTTCTCCTTGGTATGGAGGCCATTCCCAGTCATTGTGACTCGTGGGACCAAGTTCCACTTATCATCCGAATTCTCGATTTGTGTCCGTCGATTATGAAGATCAAAGGTCAGAAATTAAGAATCCGGGGATCGGGAGTCTGCCCCGGGGCTTCGGTCTCCCTTAGCCAGATGCATGCTTAAACCGCCAGTACCTTTCTCATGTATCGCCCGCGAGCGCTGCGCACCAAGCGTGGCCGATGGATGTGGTCGGCACCGGAGGCCGAATCGGGCCTCCTTGTTAACTGCCATGCCCCCAATCCCAAGCGGGGAAAGGTACTGGGGGTTTAAGTTCTGGTCTCTCCTATCCGGATCCTTGATTCAATGTCAATTTCTGACCGTAGATTACAAAGATCAGTGGACGGAGATGACAGGTCCTGTTGGGCAGGACTGCCTCTGGTGCTTGAACAGATTTAGAGGAGGACACAATGACACATAACATGAAGCAGAGAGGACTTTTTTTTCTTTTTTTTCTTTCCAAATCTGGCATGGCCACATGAACCTCCTGGGCTGGTTAGTCCGATGATAATACGGTATTATACCTCAAGGCTATGGCCCCTTTTTTTTTTTTTTTTTAAGTAGAGAGGATTTTTTTTGCTTTTCTTTTTTGTTTCCAAATCTAATGTCAAGAGTGGGAAAAGTGCACAGCAACATGTTGGTATCAATTTGATCAGGCATGGCCACATGGCGTGAAGCAGCAAGGACCGTTTTCTTTTTCTTTCTTTTGAAAGGATGCACGCACCTGTACCAAGTCTGGAATTGCCCCTGTACACCCCTAGCACCCACTCGGGCGATTCTTCTTAAAAAAAAAAAAAAAAAAAAAAAAAAAAAAAATCATGGTAAAGGGGGAACTGCGTATGGGGTTGGTAAGAACATCCCCCATTTGCAGGTCCCGGCAGTCGGATGGCTGCTTTCTATTTGTCAGGGGCAGCACCTGCCTGGAAAGCGGGCGGGTCCATCATCCCTTGTAACATACATACAGGCCATCTGATGTCGGTAGTCATTTGAGAGCTCCCCAACTCTCCCGTTTTGATAGGGACTCCCGAAGAGCTATAATCGCCCAAGCCCCTTTCCTCTCCCTTCACTCAAACCACCAGTACATGCCAGCTATCCGCCGCGGGCCCCTTTCTGAGGCCGCCTGCCGCCGATTCATTTTATCTACGGCGCTCGTCGTCCTCAATTTTCGGAGAGGCTCAAAACTATACTGCAGAGGTTGCCTGGGGCCATGTACTGGTGGTTAAACTTTAAACCACCAGTATTTCCGAAAGTCGTGGGCGTATACAAGCTGCGACGTGCTGGGATGAACGGGCCTGGGGCGCTGGTCTAGATTTGTTCAAATGGAATCGCCGCGGCACTGTAGCAATGGCTGGCGGTATACAAGCCGCAACTTCCGGAAGGACTGGTGGTTTAACCGCATCCGTCTGCGGACATTTGATGTCGTCCTCATCCACGCTGCAGTTGTCCATCAGCGAGTGGTGTCGGGGGCGTTGCGACTGTCATCCCTGGCGTTGGCTTAACGCACGCTGGACTGACTGGCTCCTCTGGACGGGGAGGGCGGAGGGCGTTGAGGGAG